AACATACAGATGTGCTGAGAGGCCACTGGTGTATGACGAATGCCATGTGGCCGAGTGGAACTGAAGTCCAGAAGACTTATTTGTCCCCGTAATCAGCCTTAAAGTTAAATTGGTTACCAGTGCATTAATGAATTAATAAGTTAAATTTTATTCCAACAAATATTCAAAGAGATGTAAAAGAACAGCGGGCTCTTCAAGTAGCGCCAGCATGAAGAATTTACTGAAGAAAAGTAAAGCTTATTAAAGGAAAAGTAAACAAATCAATGTAGGGAAAGATGGTTACCCTACAAATGCTTCAAGGCGATTTGTTTTCATCACCAAATAAATTAAAGCCCTTTATCACATCTAGTTCAACAATTGCATCTTTTCACAAGGAGTTCTGTGCAATTCCTCCAATAATCACAACCATTCGAAACGGCATTCATTATCAAAGTTCTTGAAATCCATCTCATCTTCTCCAATTCTCAGTTGTATTTAAACAACTGTTTAGTAACGTATCAAAAAAGATGGGTAGCGGTTGACCAAAGGCAGTTAACCGTCTGTTTCGTTTTAAGTCATAGGGATCAGGCAAACGATAGCACAGATGAATGATTCCTCATTGCCGTGGTTCATAAGTACAATATTTCGAATGCTTAACATTTGTGGCACTATTTTAGGATGTCCGCGCCCAGCTAAAAAGCTTTCTTGGAAAATTGCCTCATTTAATTAGTCAAATTGCGAGAACGCATATCTTTGGCTAAGGACTACATTTAGTTAAGTCAGGTTCTCTTAAATTTGCCAACTGACCAACTGGAAATGCTAGTCATAATAAAGGCCCAGCTAAGAAGCGATTGCGAGTTACTCAAATTGATCAAACTCAAATTTTGCACCTTCAGTAAGAACCTTTGTTTTGTAGTTCAATACCACCTTGTTTACTGACCAATTTCTTTTAAGGTTTTTTTTAACTTAAGGAAAAAGGTGGCACCCCCACGTGTACAAATTTATTCTCAGGTGACTGTTAAATACTACTAAATTCGAAAATTGGGGGCATTGATTAGCTTAGTTATACATAGAGACTATGCAAACCTCTACCTGCGCATTTCAGTCTATTTGAAGGCCTATTTCAGCTTCATACCTCCGTACAATTGTCATCATTTGTTCAAAGAAGCATATTACACACGTGTATGTTTTTTCTAAATTTGTATTTTACTGATTATATTATCTTTCATAATTACGAGTTCTACACCGGCAACACTTCTGATACCGTTACTTGAGGGCTCCCATAAGCCCGAACCATTTTGGAAACATGCGCATAACTGAAGGTGTTTGAAGACTGATCAGGTTGTGTACGTTGCTTACATAGTTAGATGGGAACAAAGCCAGTTGATTTAAGAGCGTGTGTCTCTTTGATCCTGTTCTTAAATAAACCCAGTTTGTGATTGTTTAACAAAGAGTTTAGGAAAGGGATAAAAGTAGTGCTTCCTCTTTTACAGTAATCCGACTTGTTATTATCCATACGAGACGAAGAGAAGATAAAAACAAAAGAACGTTAGTCAAAATCTATTATTTATTTTAGAATGCTGTGGTTAAG